CAAGAAACATTTCTGATTTACAGAATTACACAATGCAACTTCATGCTACTCCATAAACTTCCATATGATATGGATCGGGCACAGGCACTGCCCATTCACTTAAATTGCCTGGTTATGCAATTCCCTGTTTCCACTACCCCATATGTTTGAAATGGCACAATTACATCTTTCCATTATTGCATGGGTTTGAAATGACACTGCTGAGTAATATCAGAAAATCTGGTTTCATGGTCATAAGGTGCGCTGGAACGTGGAAAGCTCCGTGCTTCTTGGTCTGCCGCCTTTGTATTATAGCGGTAATTCCAATAATTTGTTTTTAACTGCACAGAAATACTTTCTATACTACTACTAAGAACTCAGTAGACAGATTGCACCCCATTAAGTTTTTAAGGAGAGCTTAAAAAGAAAATACAAGCTCCACGGCAACACAGCTGGGCGAAAAGCTGACCGGTAATTTTGCTATACAAGCACTGCTGCTGCTGCGTGCAGGAGCAATGCACGTATTAAGAACTCGTCTGTGCTATGTGGAAATTGCCAAGGTTTTCAATGAGGCAGAGGCTGTAGTGAAGCACAAGGGCAATGGTAAATAATTTCCACTGGTAATGCCAGTTTTAATTTATGTATAAATGGTTATTGGGCAAGACAAGGAAAAAAAAAACCACCCAAAAATGATTTCTCTCTCAGAAGAACCAGTTGCATCAAGGCAGTTCCCAGGTTGGACGGGGCTCTGAGCAACCTGATCTGGTTGAAGATGTCCCTGCCCATGGCAGGGGGTTTGGACTAGATGACCTTTAGAGGTCCCTTCCAACCCAAACTATTCTATGATTCTATGATTCTATGATTCTAACTCCTGGCTAAATGACAACCTCATTTCTTCAGTAATATCAGAGTGACAGCAAGGATTTTCCAGCCTCATCACTTTCTCCCTGGGCTGCAAAAAAATGCCTCTATTGTATTCTTTAGGTGTATTCTCTCTTTAAAGCAGACCAAGAACAAGCAACCGTGGCTTCATATGGAAAGTATGTACTGTTACAATATTGGAAAAATTAGTGCAAGACCGGATGTTAAAGTTTAAACACATCACGAATGCAAAGGAAGGTTTTCACAATGTTTTAAATCACAGATGCTTTTTAATGTTTTCTGTTGGAAAACATCTCCTTTTGTTGTGCCGACACAGAGGTGTTGGACCCTTATGGAGGCCTTGGGCGGTACATTAATACTATAACAGTAGTCATCATCTAGGCTTAAGCCAAACAGAACAAATACCCAATTTGGGCCAAATTTACAGCTCTGTTTTATAGAATCTTTAAAAAAAACAGTAAGATCAACTTCTTCACAAAGCTTTCCTATATTCACATGCAAATTTGGGCTCTTGTCCTTTCCATGTTAGGCTACATTTTACTCATAGAAAAAGGAAAACAAGTTTCTGGATGGTTCTGCATCTTCTACATCTCCACTCCTTGTGAATACAGATCTGAAATCCAAGTAGCTGGAAGAAGTCTACAAAGCCACGCATTAAAATCTCCATTTCACACTGGGGTTCAGGAAGAAATCTCACACACACTAAGTGCCATTTTATTCCAAGCGTCCCTTCATTTCAGTGTTTGATGAAGGGCATCCTCGCTGAAGGAACAAAAAATGTCAGGCAGAGAAGGGAAAATGCTGAGGGATGTGCAACCCAACAGTGCATTTCTTTGAATATACATTAAGAAAATAAGTCATGCTGTTTTCCAGCAAACTAGAAAACAAAGCGGTTTGATGTATTTCAAAAAGTCTACTGAATTTGGTGGAAACAGTGCCCTTACCAACAGCTCTCCTTGAAATTCACTCTGCTCCCATAGGGTAGTGCAGGCTTTTCCTCACAGCCAGGAGGACATTGGACCAATTTTTGATGAGCTGTATACAAAAAAACTGCCAGTCCAGCTGCATTTGTTCATGGCTTCACTTGTGGCTGGCTTGCAGTTGAAGCCAGCTGCAACCATCCTCAGAGCATTTCACAACGTATCAGCATGTGCAAACTGGAGCTTCAAAGCAAATTCTGGGGGTCAAACATTCAAGGTTGCCCTGTTTTGCTCCAAGTTAGGGCACTCTAGCATCTTTTTTCCCCAATTCTTATGAAAATATTGATATGACAGCATTTGCTATTTCAATTGCTAGTTTCTTTTCTGACTTCCCATTTAGAAAAGAAGCGAGAGGTCTGTGTAGCCACAGCTCTGCACCTTACAGCATCATACGCCGCAGTGGAGGATGTGGATACTGACTCTTCCCAATGGACAGCTTTGTACAGACATCACAGTGAGGAATCAAGCTTTGCTACTGGTCTGCTCCCAACATGTGCTGTAAGTAATATTTAAACCTTTATGAGTATTAAGATATGCAGCTAAATCTTGCCATTTGAGTATTGCTCTTCCATGATTAAGTGCACACATTTAAATGAATACACCAGATTTAAGCTCCTGTCTCTCTGCTATTCCTTATTATAAAAATCAGTATTTATCAGTATTCACATATGAATATTAGCTTGTATTCGATGGTAAAGTGACTCTTCCAAATTCAAGTTGTACAATAAAAGGAAAAACTCAGACGGGAGAGAAAATTCTACCTGAAAAATGAACTGTAAGAAATACCAGTCAATGGGTAACTCTCTAAGCAGCATGCTCTCAAGCTGCATCTCTACTTAACTCCGAATAACACGCTGAAGGGAGGAATTCCTTTCTCTTTTTGAAATCACAGAAAAGAATGGAAAGAAATCCTTGGCCATTGGCTTGATGCAAAGCCTTACCAAATCAAATGTGAGTTTTCCCCGGGGTCAGTTTTTGTCTTTCCACTCACTTTGACTGATTTGCAGTAGCACGCACACATGCATGCACACACACACATGAAAAATGGAAGGTGCAGGACGAGCAGAGAAGGCTGCCCTGCCAGCACGACTGGAGCTTGGGGGAACAGGAGCAGATCAGCAGGCAGCTAGAGCAAATGTATTCATTTACACTTGTTTACTCTAACTAGATCCAAATTAATTTGTGAAACATTCCCTTTGGGCCTGGTAGGCTGTTGAAGGCAAAAGACCATTTGTTTTTCCTACTGACACTTGCACTAATTGCTAGGCTCACATCTGCCGGGCTCCTCTTCTCATGGAGGGCTCCTGTCCTCCGTACCTCCATCTCTGCAAGGGTACCACAGTTACATGTTCTCAAAGACCTTTTTGTAGCTCCATGCTATGGCAATGCAATCCTCTCATGTAACCATACAAGCACTGGCAGCGTATCTCATCTTTCTTTTGAAAAACTGAGTCTGACAATGACATCATTTTGTCTCAAAATGATTTTTCCTGGTTTTATAACAAGAACCACAAGCACTATCCTGCTTCCCTGTCCTGGTTTTGGTTCTCACAAGAAATTGCGTTATCCTATCTATACCATCTTTTAGGCAAAAATCAACTGTGCTTGTCAGCAAAATACCCTGGAAGAAATTAGTGATGGACTATTATGAGAAGCTGAGAACCAAGAGGGAGAAGTAAAGGAAAAAAGTGAAAAGGGAGAAAGGATGGGAGAGAGAGAGATAGGGAACCCTCCCCTCTCAGCAAACCCTGCTCCTTCCAGCAGCCCTGAGCAGTGGAGATACCGGACAAGGTGAACACAGCGTTTATCCATCACCAGGAGGGGTGGGTGGCCCCTGGGGACCAACAACATGGGATTTTTGGTGGCTGAGACTTTCTGTAAGGGATTCTTTATATGTGAAAAGTTGTGCCAATTTAATGATATTCTGTTAATGTTCCCAGGAAAATGCATGGAAAAACCTGAATGCAGATTTATTTACATCCATTCACACCATCCTAAATTTCATTTACGATTTAGGTTAAGAAGTCCTCAACATACGTGACAATTTGAAGTAATCTATACACATTCTTTGGAGTTAGTTTACTTAAACTGGAGCAATATTTTTGATACAAAATAGGCCAAAATCAAACCAAACTTGGAATGAGGCTAATGCAGGCTGGGAAGGAGCTCAGGAGGTCTCTGCTCCAACCTCCTGCTTATGGCAGGCTCAGCTCTGAGGTCAGACCAGGCTGCTCAGGGCTTCATCCAGTCGGGAGTTGAAAAGCTCCGAGCATGGAGACTGCACCACCTCGGTGGACAACCTGTGCCTCTGCCTGACTATCTTCATAGGGGAAAAAGTGTCTCCTTACATCCAGGCCGAAACTCTTGTGTTTCAACTTACGTCCATTGTCTCTTATCTTCTCACGAAATCCCACTTTAGAAAGCCTGGCTCTGTCTCCTCAATGACCTCCCCATAGGCACTGGGGGCTGCTGGTAGGTGCCCCTGAAGCCGTCTCCGCTCCAGGCTGGACGAGCCCAGCTCCCCCAGCCTCTCTTCGCAGGATCAATGCTCCAGCCTCACCATCTCGGGGGCCTCCCCTACCATTTGTCCAATGTCTGTCTTGTACCAGGGAGCCCCAAGCTGGGTGCAGGATTCAGACACAAACGACTGATGAGTAAAGGGGATTAATTGTGAACAGGGTACAGGTCTCTGGGATGAGGACAGCCCATCTCATTCCTTTAGCCAGCTTTTCGTAATGCTTTCCAGTTGTTGCATTTACCAACTAATAATTTTGTGTGCTTCAAATCCTAAGCAAATGTCAGCTAAAATGTATTTTTTGTCAAGCATCTCCTCCCCAACTTGTAGCTGTGAACCTGGGTGTGAACTGGTGCTCCAAGGCGAGCTTTGCTGTATGCGACACTGCGGAGGAGCTGCTCACCACACGGAAGTGCTCTGGCACTCTACAGAGTGCTTTTCCCCCCACAGAAAACCATTCCCTCATGGCAGGGCCCCGCATCTGCAGCAGGTGGTCACCAACACATGGACTGTAGGAGAATGCACATTATTTCTTGTCCATTTACTCCCACTGACTTCCACAAACTATTTTACCAGGGCATTGGTTTCTAAAGACATACTACATAGTGCTACCACTACAGTATCACACCGGAGCACAGAAGTTAATATCTTCTTCATTAAAATATTTTATTAATAAGCAAATAATAAAGATGGAGGTAAATATTTGATGACATGATCGAGTTTTAAAATATTTCAGAATAAACAGAAGCAATGCGAGCTAATTAGTTATGACAATGTCATATGCTCATAGAAAACAGGTCTAACCTTGAAAATAATTGGAACCTTCTGTGGCCTTGTCTGAAATACAAAAACATACACAAAATGAGGAAATCAGCCCCATTATTACTTTACTGTTGCTTAATAAGGCATCAGGAGTGAGGACTGACCTCCCCAATTCCAGATGTCTAAATGCAGGTTGAGCCAGTTGCTGTGGCAATAAAAAACAATAGTAGAAACCTGACAGTTTTAAGTCTATATTGGGATAAAATAAATTGAGCTTACAAATTTTCCTTTCTCTCTGCTGATTATAAAGGAGCACAGGACAACCTCAGCATTATGCCTCCCACCCCATGTTTCACATCTAGAGATGTGTTCCTGGCCCACCGCTTATGTCAAGCAATACAATTTATCTCAGGTCTCTTTTACTGTGACCTAAGCAGAACTAAGTGGTATTGGTATGTTCACACAGACATTTCTGCTGTTCAGCTCAAAATGGCAACTAATTAAGTTTCAGTAACTTGTTTGTGTGCTGCACCCTCTGTAAAAAAACAAGATTTGAAATGTCCGTGAGCTGAGCATTAGCAAAATGGCAGCTTAACACTACTGCATCTGTGCAGTGACTGAAGTTACATGACCAGTTAGCACAAATTCAGAAATGCTTAACTCAAGCAGTGTTGGTGCAATGCACTTTTTCAAGTTATTCTTACTATCTGCATAACAATACTGTCCCAAGGTTCCAGCTAAGATCAAAGTCCAACTATATTACAGGGTACATACATTCATAATAACACTTCGTCTGCTGTGGACCAAAACACGCCACTGCAGCAACTTGAGGATATTACTGCTTCCAGGTGTACACTGCACCTTTGTATGTGGAGGAGATGTTGTGTCTCCTGTAGGAAGGGCAGCAGTAAAGCGTAAATGCTACACCTAAGCCACTGCATCTTTCCCTCTGTGGGGGAGCAAAATAGCAGATACCTGGGGTCCCTTCAGCTACAGCTGTTAAATTCAGTACAGCTGAGTCCTAAAGAAGCACTCCTTGCTTCAAATAATGTACAAAATAGACATGGCAACAGAGAGGTGAACTGGCTTCCCAGGATCACTCAGACGGTCATGGAGTAGCCTGGGAGAAAGTCCAGACTGATCCACTGCACCATACTGTCTCCCAAACTAGCTGTTAAATCAAAATCTCTTATTTCTCACAGACAAGTCTTAAAATGGGGTACATGTTTATGCAGCAATGCCAATGGCCAGCATCAAACATCTGACTTAAGCTAGGGGCAAAGCCATGGGGTATCAAGTGCATGGTATTAAAGACCAAGTAGGTCTCCGGTAAGTCTTACAGAACCAGGGGTAGGGGATGAGGAGGGAATTCTGCTCTATTTACTCACACTTAGATCATCATACAGGTACAGAAGTGCCAAAGGGAGGGAAAAGAGGAATAATTCTTTCCCCTACATTGTGGAACAGTTACAGAGCTAAGTTGAAGTGACCCTTACGGCTGTTGAGATCCATGCCCCCCAGCCAGTGAATCTACTCTTTGTTCAACACAATCTTCTCCTATCTACAGTCAGTGCTTCACAAATTAACCTCGCTGTCACAGTGATTGGTGGGTGAAGGCTTATTTTCTCCAGTGACAAACAGCTGATGTTTGCCTATTTCAGATCCCTGCATAAGCAAATATTGTTCAAGCGCTGAATTCCTAAGCAAGCTGAAAAATGCATTATTTAAAACGTGATTGCGTTCCAGCATTGCACAATATTAATATTGCTAAAGCTACTTAATGCTTACACATCTAATGCATATATATAATTTGATAAATTTTAACTGAACTTTTAAATAACTGTTTCCAGTTATTAATGAATTACGTCACGACAAATTTGGACCAAATGTTTCATTGGTCTCTACATTTGTGCATATCATTGGTTGCACATTCAGTCTCCTCTTCTGCATGACCAAAAATTTCCACTTTTTATGAAGATCTGCTCTTCATAAAATCTTCTCTCCTGTTAGACAAGGTGCACGTCAGTCAGATTTCATTTTTTTTTTCAGTTTGGCAAGACCAGTGAGACATTCATCTCTCCATTTTCTCCTGGCATCCAGGACTTTTGGAACAACTGGAATTTTTTCAGACATTGCCTGGAACAGAAAATTTAAGATGATTAAATCTCACGTTCTGAGTAAAAAGTTTCTCACCAGCATTGTTTTCCTGCTTTCCCTGCGTCAGACCAAGTAACCATCCACACAAACTGTAATTTAGTCTATCAATCACAAGCAATAGGTCACTAATTCTTTACGTGAGTGATGGAAATGAGCTAACCTGTACAAGAAGAAAAGTGCTCCCACTTGGAGAAGGTTGGCCTGAATGTAGCAATGAAGGTGCCTACAGAAACATCCTCTTCTTTTTTTTCCCCCCCCCCAGCCACTGTCTAGTCTCTTTGATAATAACCTTTTATTAAATAGGAAGGAGGCAACCTGGCCATTTATGTGGCTAAAAATGTAAAACCAAATTCCTGTGTGTGTCTAAAGCTGTGATCTCTCTTCTGGCTCCTAATAAATGTAATGAGGGATACCATGTTTATTAAAAACATTTTGTCTTAGGAGTGCCAGTTATAATCGAAATGACAGGGGAAGAGACATAACAAACCCAGAATTATGATTTTTGTTGCTTATTGGAATATGGGGGAGAGAAAGTACAGCACTGTATGAGGACACAAAGGTAGAAGTCTGAAAAAGTTAGCACGCAAAAATGATATTTAAAACAAAATGGAAAAAAAAAAGTATTTCTGAGTGCATAATCAAGGTTGTCTTAGAAGTGCCAGTTAAATATATCACTGAAAGGAGAACAAGAGGTAAGTTCTGGCCAGCTACTACATTACAGCAGATTTTCTTTCAAAGAAAAAAAGCTGGTTTGAGAGTGCAGGTAGAGTTCACAGGACATCTTTGCCAAAATAGCACCTCAGGTCTTAGGTTTAAAAGGCAAGTGTTGAGAAACTGGCTAAAACCTGGACCTGCTACCAATGATTGGCAAGTTGCAGTCATTCCAGAAAAAAGTCAGGGGGAGGGACAGAGGAGTAAGATAAGAAATGTTTAATGTTTTACTCTTAAGAGGATTCTTGCAAACCCATCTTTGGCATTGAAGACCAAAGACGATAAAGAGACGCAGAAACAGACACTGAAGTAGAATCCAGCTTTCCATAAAGAAACCCACACTGCTTCATACTAATCAAAAGCTTCTAATTGTGAATAACTCCACAATTATTATTGATTGTTATTATAAGCAGTCTATGTTGTTTAACCATAAAAGAATCTTCTTCCTTTTTAACATAGCTGATGTTGAAATTGTATAAATAGGAACAAAAAAAATAGGAACAAAAATGCTGTCTTCCAGACAGAGAGCTTCCATATATGGAATTAACCTGACAGCTAATCAAGAATGATTCAACACATACACGTGTTCTTTAGCAAAGTGTTAAAAAGGCAACTATGAAAAGGCAGAGTTAGGAAATAATGATACTTCAGTTAATTCCTATGATCATACAAAATAGCCTATACAGTGAGTATAAACAAATTGTGTATAAACAAACTGGGTCCCAATCCAGCATAGCACCTAAACACATCTTATCTTTAAACGTGCAAGTAACCTTACCGGACTGCTCATATGCTTAACTTAAACGTGTATTTGCACGCGTTACAGACTGGAGCTCTAGTTTGTAAAGTATACAAAAAAAAGAAAAAGAACACCCAGAAGAAAAAAGCTACAGGGTTTATGCAGGAAGATGGAGTAGGAGGAAGACACGGGGAGAAAAGTCATTTAGGAAAGGAAGCTTGAAGCTGTGCATATTATGGTAGAGGACACAGGACAGAAGTGGTAAGAAATCGTGTGGAGGATTTAGTGTCAATAACCCATAGTTGCTAGCAGTTGACTCCTCTGTCTAGTAATAATGTTACTCAGCTGCTAGATCACTTTCCCTTGATGTATGTCAAAGTGCTTTGAAAAGGGACTTAAATGCATTCTGTACTGATCTTTTCGTTCAAAGTACACATTCACACAAGAAATACAAACTACAGATACCTCTAACAGTAAACTCAAATGGTACAAATGTTAAAATAAAAGCTAACGTTCTTTGTTCTGAATGTCACTGCATTTATCAACTCCGTATTTACCTGACTGATTTTCTGCTCAATTTCACCTGAAAATTCTGGAACTGGTCCAAAGGTGTTCAGAACACGTCTCATACCTTCACGGTATCTTTCACAATAATTTGAAATACCTAAAAATAAGAGTAAAAAATTGCATTTCAACAGAAATTCCTACTTAAGTTCCGTAAGGCTGCCTGTGCTTAAGCACTGTCTTAAATCAGAGTCCAAAAAAACAGGTGTGCTCTTATGCTTAAGACACCTAATTGTCATCAAGGAAAATGGATTCTATCCACCACATTTCCATTAAGGTTCATGGAAAAATCATTTAGGACATGCCTTCATTGCAAAACCAATTAATGTTACGTACCAACAGGCAATGGTATGTGAAGGGTGTAGTACGCAACCATGGATATACTCGTGCTTTGTTACTCGAGACTAGAAAGTTTCCCCGACCAGTGTCCATGAGGAGAGGGCTCTCACCTCTCCTCTCCTCCTGTTTGGTATGTTTCATATCAGTTGAAGCACTCCTATTGCTACTTTTATTTATTGACCCAGAGTGTATCAAGAGCAACATGGCTCAGGGGGAAAGGGTCAAAGGCATGGAGACCCAGGTGGCCTCCAGTGAACGAGGAACAGATGGATCTTGCAGATCAATACCTTGTATTGCAACTGGGGTTAACAACAAGGATTTGGCTTTTATGACCACAGGACCCTCTTTGATGGTTGAGCACTGCTAGGGGGAGACGGGATCCACCTGATAAAGTGGAGAAGAAGCATCTTTGCCAAAAACCTGGCCAATCTGGTGATAAAAGCTTTATATTAGGAACACTGAAAAAGTGAGATTACAACCTATATGTAGTCAAGTGAGGAAGGGGTGTACGGGGGTGGAAAGAAAAGAGTGTAGGGTAACAGGTACAAGCAAAACCTCAAGAAAGTATAAAAAAAGGCTGAAGGAGTCCACCTCTTGTGCACCTTGTAAATGCACAAATGCGTGCAGCCTGGGAAACAAGCAGGGGAAATAAGAGCTCCATGTGTGGTCACACAACTGCAACATCGTTGGAGCAACTGAGGTGTGGTGGGACGGCTCACACAACTGGAGTGCTGCAGCGGACAGATACACACTTCAGGAAAGACAAGGAGGAAAGACAAGGAGGGGGTGTACTATCTCTGTAAAGGAGCAGCTCAGATGTATGGAGCTATTCTATGGGATGGGTGACTGGGTGGGTGAGAGCCTGTGGTCAGCATCAGTGGAGATGCCAGTAAAGGACAGCATCCTCCAAGAGCAAGAACAGTCCATCCTGATATTCAGGAAGACAAGTAAATGTATCAAGAGATTGGCTTGGATGAGCTTCAGTGCAAAAGGCAGCATACAGGAGGTGGAAACAGGGACAGGGTGTAAAGGAGAAATTTAAAAACACTGCCTAGGCATGTAGGGATGGTGTCAGGAAAGCCAAAGCTCAGCTCCAGTTGAGACTTGCAAGGATGTCAAGGGCAACAAGAAGGACTTCTGCTGTTACATTACTACAACAGAAGGCTGAACAAGGAAAGTGTAGGCCTGTTGCTGAATGGGTGGGTGATTTACTGACAGGACAAACAGGTAAAGCGGAGTTACTCATTGCTTTCTTTGCTTCAGTCTTTATTGACAAGGTCTCCTATGCCTCTGTGCTTGGAGGCAGGGTTTAAGGAGGAGAAGAGTTATCAGCAGTAGATGACGATCCAGTCAGTGACTATCTGCAAGAACTCAGCCCCACCTGAGACGATAGGACGAGACGGACTGTATCCAAGGATATGAGAGAAATAGCCCATGTCCCTGCAAGGCTGCTTTCTATCATATTTTAAAAATCATGCCAGTCAATGCATCAGTGTCATCATTTGAGATCCCCAGATAACTGAAGGCAAATATTGCACCCATTTTCAGAAAAGGTCAAAAGAACAATCTGGGGTACTACTACAGGCCAATCAATCTCACTTCTGTCCCTGAGAAAATCAAGGAATAAGTCCTCTTGAAACAAATTCCTGGGCACAGGAACAAGAAGAAAGTGATTGTGACCGTCAGCATGTAGTCACCAATGGGTACACCATGGTGTAAATCATGTCTGATTGACCTTGTTGCCTTCTGTGATAACATCACTGGATTTGTGGAAAATAGGAAAGTAGTGGATATCATTTACCTCAACTTTAGAAGGGCATTTGACACTGTCTCCCGTGATATTCTTCTATTAAAGTTAGGACATTAAGGTCTGCATGCTTGGACAACTAGATGGGACAAAAAAATGGGTTGGATACTCAGGCTCAGAGGTAGTGGTTAATGAGTTGTACTCTACCTGGAGGCCAGTAAAAGTGGAGTATTGCAGGAATCTATCCTGAGACCTGTACTGCTTAACAGCACTTGCTCGTAAAGTTTGTGAATGATACCAAATTGGGCGGGGATGGGGGGGGGGGGGGGGGGGACGGCGCGGACACAGAGTTTGGGGGGGGGGGGGGGGGGGGGGGGGGGGGGGGGGGGGGGGGGGGGGGGGGGGCAAGGACCAGCTGATACATTGGAGGGCAGGACTGCCCTTAGACAGGCTGGAGGAATGAGCCAATACAAAACCTTAAAAAAATTAACAAGGATAAATGCAAGGTCCTGCACCTCGGAAGGAAGAGCTCCTTGCAACAACACAGGCTTGTGAACCCCAAGAACTCCTGGTTCTGGTAGGCAGCAAGCTGAACGTGAGCCAACAGTGTGCCCTGGCAGCAAAGAGGGCCAACAACATCCTGGGCTGTGTTAACAGCACAGTCAGTAGACTGAAGGAAGTGATTACCCCCCTTTACTCGACACTCATTAGACTGCATCCACAATGCTGCATTCAGTTTGGGATCCCCCAATACAAGAAAAACATTGACAAACTGGAGCAACTTCAGCAGAGACCACCAAAATGGTGGGGGCTGGAGCACTTGCCCTGTGAGGAGAGGGTGGGGGAGCTGGGCTTGCTCAGCCTGCAGTAGAGATGGCTTTGGCAGCTGCACTGGCAGCTCCCCAGTGCCTACGGGGAGGTCACTGAGCAGACGGAGCTGGGCTCTTTACAGTTGTTGCATGGCAGGAGGACGAGACAATAGGCACAATTTGAAACGAGAGGTTCAGACTGGATACTCAAGCACTGGCACAGGTTGCCCACAGAGGTTGTGCAATCTCCATCTCTGGGGGTTTTCAAGACTGGATGAAACCCTGAGCAGCTTGGTCTGACCTCAGAGCTGACCCTGCTGTGAAAAATCTCAAAAAACATGTGGTCAGAGAACCTGAGAACCAGCTAACTGGTAACAATGGGTAAAATGGCAGTCAAGTAGACCTTGGCTGAATTAGGGAAAGGTCCAGCTTCCATCAGCTCCAGTAGGAATCTCAGAAAAATTACTGTTGAGGCACTAGAGAGGAACTAGAATGATAAATGCACCAGAAAGAGAAATCGGTCATTTAGCCAGACATATACATCTAGTAGACTTTTAAGTGCTATTAACCACTACATAATCAAGAAAGGATAAGGCAGCCTTTTCCACTGTACATCAATCAAGAAGTCGTGAGCTGCATCACAGCAGTAAATGAGCAATGCTTTCTGGCAGTAAGCAAGCCGACATAAGAAAGAATGTGATTATCCTGATGAACACCCTAGATCTGAGAAGGGAAGTTCTGGATATCCACTAAAAGCTTGTGACAATCTCCCTTTTCTGAGAACCATAGAGACTTAAGTATTTGCATCCTTAACTCTCTTTTTATTAGCTAATTATCAAAGCAAAGAGGAGAAAGCTGCAGAAGACAAAGGCAAGCAGCTACGGTCACCAACTCTTTCACGAAGACTCAGGAGATCGTACAGACTGAGAAGCATGAACCTGAACTGCTCATGGTCTTATCCAACCACAAAATGCAGGAAATGTAAGTGGGGTGGCCTGACTACCACACAAAAGAATGCAACTCAGGTCAAGAGTCATTAAGCAGTCTCTTTCCTGAACAGCTTGTAGACAGTTCCCTGGAATGCAATACTGTGTGATATCAATACCATAGAAGTCACACCTGTCTAACCCTAAGTGGTTGAGGTTGAAAGCTAGATGAAGGAATGGAAACCTCTGACTACTGGCAACAATGAATCATAAACTACACCACTTATACTGCTCAAGGTGCCTGAAATCGCTGAAGTACAGGTTTTCCAAAAGGCCTCCGAGGTCAGTAAGAGTATGGAGAACACTCTTGTTTCTGGACCAAAGACAGAAGAACTGTCAAAGGACAGATGCTCAAGGAAGTATTAAATTTCCTTTAAGAAATTAGCACTCTGAAGTCATGATGACCATCAGATAAACAACTGAAAGGACAGAATGGGAGAACATGTCCATTGCACGAGAGCAAAGTGGAGAGATTTGAGAGTATTCAACTCTCTTAAAAAATGGACTAGAAACATTCTCCAGTATCAGTAGGAAGGAGGCTCTGAGAAAAACAGCAGTCTTGTTAAGTTGCTTGAACCTGTATTTGGTGCCAAGAGTGTGCCAATTAGCATTTAGTCAGCCTGTTTCCTTGTGTTATCTACCCATGGAGCATATGTGTTCCTAGAACACACTCTGGCGTGTTCTGGCCTTCTCCAACACAAAAAGCAAGGTCAGCTGGTCATACAGGTATATTGGTGCTCTAATTATATGGAAATTTAGTATTTTGCTCAGTTGTCTTGATTGACACACAGCCAGAAACCTTCAAATTGCCTAGCGGGCTCCAAAACATCACTGGCAGGAAGTGAGATTCAGGAAGAGAAGCATTACTGTGGGATGTGGAACAGGCTGTGATACGATTCTCTCTCTTCACCGAGGGAATAAGCAGAGACCATCCTCCTCCATAAACACTCTGGAAAGGACCACTGGTTATCAGGGTTTACTGACCATACCCTGCCATTGGCATAAGTGCTTGCCTGTTAAATCTTAACAGCTGGGCTCACAGACTTTGGCAGCTGAAGCCAACCCAGATCAATCTACAGGGGATACGCTATCCACATGAGGAACCTTGGCAACCCAAGACAATTCTGGATGAGACTCATGCACCAACCACAAGACAACAATATTTACATTTCACCTGGCTCACATGAGCTTTTTCTTCTAACAGTGAGGAGTCTGAGCA